TTTTCATAAAGAAACACTAGTGTATTTTACTTTTTCATAAAGAAACACTAGTGTATTTTACTTTTTCATAAAGAAACACTAGTGTATTTTACTTTTTCATAAAGAAACACTGGTGTATTTTACTTTTTCATAAAGAAACACTGGTGTATTTTACTTTTTCATAAAGAAACACTAATGTAGTTTACTTTTTCATAAAGAAACACTAATGTAGTTTACTTTTTCATAAAGAAACACTAATGTAGTTTACTTTTTCATAAAGAAACACTAGTGTATTTTACTTTTTATAAAGAAACACTAGTGTATTTTACTTTTCTTGTTTCTAGCTGCAGCAAAAAATTTTTGGAGCAGCTTGTATTTCCCTTTCTGGTAACTCTGAAAATAAATCCACTAATAACTAAACATACTTGTACAGTGGCCTTCAATGCTACAATACTAAAATAAAAAGGATTAAATTAGTTTTTCTCTAAGTTCACAATAAGAGTAGAATTAGGGAGAAAAGCTATAATAAGGGTAAAATATGTGAAATACTCAAAACCTGGTTTATATTACAAAGACTAGAATAAAATAGGTATCCAAAGTCAGTTCATCTAGTATTGAAAATCCTTGTAGAAAAGGACAGTACCCTGACATCTTACATAAGATCACATTAATATCAATTGGACTTTGAAGAGTTATAAAGTAAATACAGGGAATGAAACCAAGTTCACAAGAAGCTTCTGTAAAAGATAATGTAAAATTTCGTAACAAGAGTGGTATGTCAACGATATATTCATTCACTTAACTTTTGTGTTTTACAGTAAAGTCAACATTCAATGCTGAAAGATATCTTATTTTGAAATTTAATTCACCTTTTAAAAATGTTTTGAATGTCTTGTTAAAGATCAAAATTGGTCAGATGTAGGGATTCCTTGGAAATTTATCAATTTTGTGGTAAGGTGGTAAATGCTATCTATCTTATTTTGGAAATCAATGAACTTTTCCACACTGTTTTAACATGACTAAGAACATCATCTCACATGTTAAGGTTTGACATTGGTAGGATGTAGGGATTCCGTGGAAATTTATCAATTTTGTGACAAGTTGGGAAATTTTGTATTAGTTTGTAACTTACATTACTCATTGAGACAAGTTTAAATTTCAAGTTCTTGTAAAGTAAGAAAATCAAGAGAAAACATATGAATCATTATTAAAAACTTAGCACCACCTTACGATAGTTGGATGTAAATATCTGTTTATTAAATTCTAAAGAAAAAGAAATAAAGAGACAAAAACGAGTTTATGTTGAGTTATAATAGGCAAAAGGATGACAATAAAATTAATAATTAAACAAGAAACTATAAGGACATTTAGTTTTCCTTTCAAAACCTATAATGTATATGGTTACAGAAGCCAAAGTCACTGAATAAGAACTGAACAATATGGTAAGCTTATTCTAACATTTCCTATTACTCATCCATAAGTTATTCCTTTCTTTTCAATAATTTAACTTTTCATAAACAATGGTGGAAACGTTAATCCCTATCTACAGATGAGCAGCTTACTTTGTCAGCTCCAACTTTCTTGAATGCTGACTGAAGGACTTTAAAGTTAGTAATGTATTCATGCTCTAGTTGTGTTTTGAACTTCACTTTCTTCAGGGAAATACAACCTGAAAGAAAATGTTTATATTGTCTTATGTAAGGACTGTGCATGTACGACAAAAACTTAGCCAAGTAACAAAATTTATCAAAATGACACCCTTAAGCAAAGGTTACTTGTTCACAGATAACAACATTTATATTTTTGCAATCATCCTAAGACTACTTTGGCCATCTGATTCATGTCTGCAATGCTACTTTTAAAAAGAATGAATTAATTAGATTACAAATAGTCACATTATACGATTTTAATAGTACCAGTTTCTGATGTTACAATATCAACTATTTTGATAGTACCAGTTTCTGATGTTACAATATCAACTATTTTGATAGTACTAGTATCTGATGTAACGATGTCAACTATTTTGATAGTACCAGTTTCTGATGTTATGTTTTCAACTATTTTGATAGTACTAGTATCTGATGTTATGATGTCAACTATTTTGATAGTACCAGTTTCTGATGTTACAATATCAACTATTTTGATAGTACTAGTACCTGATGTTATGATGTCAACTATTTTGATAGTACTAGTAACTGATGTTATAACATCAACTATTTTGATAGTACTAGTATCTGATGTTATGATGTCAACTATTTTGATAGTACCAGTTTCTGATGTTACAATATCAACTATTTTGATAGTACCAGTTTCTGATGTTACAATATCAACTATTTTGATAGTACCAGTTTCTGATGTTACAATATCAACTATTTTGATAGTACCAGTTTCTGATGTTACAATATCAACTATTTTGATAGTACTAGTATCTGATTTTATGATGTCAACTATTTTGATAGTACCAGTTTATGATGTTATGATGTCAACTATTTTGATAGTACTAGTACCTGATGTTATAACAACTATTTTGATAGTACTAGTAACTGATGTTATGATGTCAACCATTTTGATAGTACTAGTAACTGATGTTACAACATCAACTATTCTGACAGTACTAGTACCTGATGTTATGATGTCAACTATTCTGATAGTACTAGTACCTGATGTTATGATGTCAACTATTCTGATAGTACTAGTACCTGATGTTACAACATCAACTATTCTGATAGTACTAGTACCTGATGTTACAACATCAACTATTCTGATAGTACTAGTACCTGATGTTATAACATCAACTATTCTGATAGTACTAGTACCTGATCTTATGACATCAATTACAAAGTTAGAAAAATTACAGGAAGTGAAACAAACTAACATAAATAAACAGATGAAGCAAATAATAGCAAGAAACAGAAATGTTACATTACAATTTATCAACCTCGATTGTAAATAGGAATACTCTTGCTGCTGTTGCATTAAACAATGTTTAAATACAACAGTAAAAGAAAAATGTAATTAAATAAAATGACAATCAACTAATATGCTTTAAGATGTCATGACAGTTATTTCAGATCACACAAGTCTTTCACTTAGCATTAGAAGTGCCTGAACGTGTTACAACAAATGGGTATGATGACTTTTTTTTTTTATAACCTTTGTTCTTGTACGTTACAGCAATAACAAAAACAGACTGCAACACTGGATCCCTGGAAGCTTAACTCTTTCATATCATCAACCTCCCCCAAAAAGAGAAGGTTACAAAATGTACCTTCAAACAACCTAACTTCTTCAAATCTGCACACTCCAACCAAAAGGGAGGTTATAGTATTCATTCAAAACCTTCAAACAACCTAACTTCTTCAAATCTGCACACTCCAACCAAAAGGGAGGTTATAGTATTCATTCAAAACCTTCAAACAACCTAACTTCTTCAAATCTGCACACTCCAACCAAAAGGGAGGTTATAGTATTCATTCAAAACCTTCAAACAACCTAACTTCTTCAAATCTGCACACTCCAACCAAAAGGGAGGTTATAGTATTCATTCAAAACAATCTTACCTCCTTCAAATCATCACCCTACTGCAAAAGGAGAAGTTACATATTCCAAACAATCTTACCTCCTTCAAATCATCACCCTACTGCAAAAGGAGAAGTTACATATTCCAAACAATCTTAACTCTTTCAGAACACCACCTTCTCCCAAAAGGAGAGGTTGCAGTATGTACCTGTAAAAGTCATTAGCCCCCCAAAAATGAAGATTAAGATATGTATCTGTACTATTCCCAAAGATGTTATGTTTTCCAAAAGTCAATACCTTACTTTTTGGAACACGCTCTGTGTCACACAGAATAATTTTATGCACATCTTACTATCTATATAATTGAGATGGTCACAAAACTTCGAAAAAGTAACCTGAAAATGTTGAAATATTGTCAAAAGTTCACAGAGCACTAAAATTATTTTGACTTCTGCAAACATGTACCCAAAATCTGTTGTGAAGCACTTAAACTTGAGAATGAAGCATTGTGAACCTTTCAAGATGCTTGCTCTTAACAGTGAGGTATTTATGTACTTAATACATATAACAAACAATTTAAACTACTAAATACTTGTCACTCATGAAATTTTACACTTCTGTTTACACAAAATTAAAATTAAGAAATAACAAAAGGTCCACAGATGTTAGCATTAAACAAGCTGGAAAACAATATTAAGAAAAATTCCTTACACCAGATGTATAATACTATCTTAGATATTAAAATAACAAACTTATCAGCATTTATACTGGTGAGATTTATGTACAAAATATAATATTTCATGTCAATAGGCTTAAATCAAACATGATGACTTTAATCACAAATCAATAAATGAACACATTTTGGATAATCACTCAAAACACTGTTGTGTTGTAATTATGTGAACTTACTCCTGTGAAGGATGGAAGGAAATTCTGTTTGAACAATATTAAAGACAACTACCAAGTCTACTACAATCAATATCATACACCGATTAAAATTTTTTCCAACTAAGGAAGTCTAATGTTCCTTGAAACAACAGCTTCCACACAAACATAAGCTGCATGTCTAAAAACTTTACATGGAATAAAAATAAATTATTCAGAGGAATACCTGACAAGTCTGACAAGAAATAACTTGTACTGCTACATAGATTCAAGAAAAATCAGTTTGACATAACTAGACATAATATTAATGGTCTAATAAATATTTAAATATAGTCTTAATATTTATTTTCATCCAACAAATTATCAGAAATTTTGTGCAAAGAAAGTTCTTACCTGGGAAAAGCATGTCCATAAATTGGCAATATGCAGCTCCTATATAATATATAAATAACAGTCACTACGAGACCACTATCCCAAAAGAAAACTTTTTTAAACAATATGTAGCCCGAAATATGTGTAAACACATAATAAAATTTTATATAATAAATACACCTTCTGTTAGATGCCCCTGTAGAAGACAAAACATTTTTTTTCAAACAATAAACAGCTCATTGATTAGACAAAAAGAGCAACTTTTTACATTAAATGCAGTCTTTGTACTACACAAAAACAAGACTATTTCAAGATGACAAGTCTCATGACTTTGCAGTAAGTTATTACCACCAGAGCTGGGTGATAACCTTGATTACCCATGAGCAGTGATTACATCACTCAGTGTAACATAATCAAGTAATCAAATTTACAGTTAAATCAACTAATGTCTTGAAAATAATCAATTAATTGAAATTAGTGTTTCTAATTATTAGTTTTAATAATTCCAATTATCTGAATAATCCAAATATTTAATTATGAATTCTCATTATTATTTTCACTTAATTCAAAGTTAATTAAAATACTCCCATAATCAACGTTTACATTGTGTATTTTACAATTTTGATCATTTGAGTATTTTAATTAATATCTTACACAAGTATCAAGAATTTTAGGTTGTTCAGCTTAATCAGTTAGCGTCACAAGTCACAAAAATAATAAATTAGTGATTCCTATTATTACTACTTTCAATGATTCCAATTATCTAAGTCTCGTGGGAATAACCGATTAACAAATTCCACTAATCGTCCACTTCTAATTATTACAATGACAGTACAGACCAAGTTGAAATGTGAAAGAATTAATGGTTTACCATTATTATAATATCAAATAAATCTGTTCTTAGAAAACAAACTTATTTTACGTTTGTGGCATTCACAACTAAACTTACCTGTACATAGTTCTTCTATCTTGGAGTACTGTGTTTCTAAGCAGTCGTTAACCCAATTCAACATCTCATGCCTACTAAGATTCTCTGTTGTGGCACTAGTAGCATATACATTAACACAGAGAGGACTAGACATTGTGGTAATCTGTTAAAATAGTTCACTCCTAATTAATGTCATCATGATGGGTTTTGAGATTCTAAACTCACCCTTTCATTAACAGAATATTTTATGGCTTAATCATAGCATAATTAACTTTCTACATCATAGACTTGGCATAGTTTACCATCACAACTTCTCCTGCTCTAACTAGTGTATTAACTTACAAAAGCTTTAATGGAGTGCATTAAATTAACACATACATCTCGCACTAATCTATTATAAAATCTTCTTCATCTAATACCTTGATAATGTTTCCAATCTTGATATGTATCATGATAACCATCTTGATATCTATCATCACTGTAACCATACTGATACCTGTCATCACTGTAACCATCTTTATACCTGTCATCACTGTAACCATCTTTATACCTGTCATCACTGTAACCATCTTGATACCTGTCATCACTGTAACCATCTTGATACCTGTCATCACTGTAACCATCTTGATACCTGTCATCACTGTAACCATCTTGATACCTATCATCACTGTAACCATCTTGATACCTGTCATTACTGTAACCTTCTTGATTCCTCTCATCACTGTAACCATCTTTATACCTATCATCACTGTAACAATCTTTATACCTATCATCACTGTAACCATCTTGATGCCAATCATCACTGTAACCACATTGATACCTATCATCATCGCCACCTTCTTGATACCTATCATCATCGTAAAAGATGGTTACAGTGATGATAGGTATAAAGATGATTACAGTGATGACAGGTATAAAGATGGTTACAGTGTTGACAGGTATCAAGAAGGTTACGATGATGATAGGTATCAAGATGGTCACAGTGATGATAGGTATCAAGATGGTTACAGTGATGATAGGTATCAAGATAGTTACAGTGTTGACAGGTATCAAGAAGGTTACGATGATGATAGGTATCAAGAAGGGATGCCAATCATCACTGTGACCATCTTGATGCCAATCATCACTGTGACCATCTTGATGCCAATCATCACTGTGACCATCTTGATACCTATCATCATCATAGCCTTCTTGATACCTGTCAACACTGTAACCGTCTTGATACCTCTCATCACTGTAACCATCTTGATACCTTTCACCACTGTAACCACATTGATACCTTTCATCAGTGTAACCACATTGATACCTTTCATCAGTGTAACCACATCGATACCTCTCATCATCGTAACTTTCTTGATACCTATCATCATCGCCACCTTCTTCATACCTATCATCACTGTAACCATCTTGATACCTATCATCACTGTGACCATCTTGATACCTATCATCATCATAGCCTTCTTGATACCTGTCAACACTGTAACCGTCTTGATACCTCTCATCACTGTAACCATCTTGATACCTCTCATCACTGTAACCATCTTGATACCTTTCACAACTGTAACCACATTGATACCTTTCATCAGTGTAACCACATTGATACCTCTCATCATCGTAACCTTCTTGACACCTATCATCATCATAACCATATTGATACCTATCATCACTGTAACCATCTTGATACCTTTCATCACTATAACCACATTGATATCTATCATCACTGTAACCACATTGGTACCTATCATCACTGTAACCACATTGGTACCTATCATCACTGTAACCACATTGATACCTCTCATCACTGTAACCATCTTGATACCCATCATTATCATAACCATATTGATACTTGTCATGATCGTAACTTCTTGATACCTATCATCACTGTAACCACATTGATACCTCTCATCACTGTAACCATCTTGATACCCATCATCATCATAACCATACTGATACTTGTCATGATCGTAACTTCTTGATACCTATCATCACTGTAACCATACTGATACCTATCATTACTAACCTTCTTGACACCTATCATCATCATAACCATATTGATACCTATCATCACTAACCTTCTTGACACCTATCATCATCATCATAACCATATTGATACCTATCATCATCGTAACCATATTAATACCTGTCATGATTGTAACTTCTTGATACCTATCATCACTGTAACCATCTTGACACCTGTCATCATCGTAACCATATTGATACCCATCATCACTGTAACCATCTTAATAACTATCATCATTGTATCCTTCTTGACACCTATCATCATCGTAACCATCTTGATAACTATCATCATCATAACCATCTTGATACTTCTCATCACTGTAACCTTCTTGACACCCATCATCACTGTAACCATATTGATATCTGTCATCACTGTAACCATATTGATACCTATCATCACTGTAACCATATTGATACCTATCATCACTGTAACCATCTTGATACCTGTCATCATCGTAACCATATTGATACCTATCATCATCGTAACCATCTTGATACCTATCATCATTGTATCCTTCTTGATACCTATCATCATTGTATCCTTCTTGATACCTATCATCATTGTATAGTTCTTGAAACCTGTCATCATCGTAACCTTCTTGACACCTGCCATCATTGTAACCTTCTTGAAACCTGCCATCATCATAACCTTCTTGACACCTCCCATCATTGTAATCTTCTTGACACCTCCCTCATCATAACCTTCTTGACACCTACCATGATCGTAAAGTTCTTGAAACTTGCCATCATTGTAACCTTCTTGACACCTGCCATCATCATAACCTTCTTGGCACCTGCCATCATCATAACCTTCTTGGCACCTGCCATCATCATAACCTTCTTGACACTTATGAGGATCATAAAGTTCTTGAAACCTGCCATCACTGTAACCTTCTTTACACCTACCATCAACTCTTGATAATCCTTAAACTCAATATTGAGACTAGATTATTGGTTAATCAACATTTATATGTCGTTTGAAGATGGTATATTAGTAATGCTCATCAAGTTACATGGATAGGAAGCAACAGTAACACAGTGTTTAACACAATTATAAGGTATGGTACTGACAGTAACATGGACAGGTAGCAATAGTAACACGGTGTTTAACACAATTATCAGGTATGGTACTGACAGTAACATGGACAGGTAGCAATAGTAACACGGTGTTTAACACAATTATAAGGTATGGTACTCATAGCAACATGGACAGGTAGCAACAGTAACGCAATTATCAGGTATGGTACTGACAGTAACACGGACAAGTAGCAACAGTAACACAATTATCAGGTATGGTACTGACAGCAACACGGACAAGTAGCAACATTAACACAGTATTTAACACAATTATCAGATATGGTACTGACAGCAACATAGACAGGTAGGAGCATTGAAGCAATGTTAAATACATCTATCATATGTAATACTGACAGCAACTTGAACAGATAACACCAAATAATAACAAGTGTTTAGTACAACTTGAACAATATATTCTATTTGTATACAAACAGTCTAAAACTTTAAAGCTGGACTTATATTGAATAGTTTATTCTTATATAGAACTGTATCTGTTTAGAGAATTAATTTTAACATGTCTACTCTGTCAGACTTATGATGCTTTCAAATAAGCAGCTGTAGCTTTAAAAACAAAACATACAGACAACAAAGTAACATCAGGTCCTTTATGGTTGTCCCTTGAGAAAAATAAAAACTTAACACACCATTTATTTTTCAGGAAATAATCAGTTACTGTCTTCAATTCTTGTAAATTGCTGACAGCAACTTATTCTGTAAGCCAATCAAAACCACTCCAATTTGTTCAACACTAAATGTTGAATTATCTTTTGTAAATCAAGATGCAAAACTTTTTCTTGATCAAAGCAAATAAAAAAGGATACATTGAAAATGTTTAAAAGTATATAATCTTTTTTAAAAACTGGTATATTCAGTCATCTTAAAAAGATGCAGAATATCTAAGTTAAAATATTTTTACTATAAAACAACATATTTATTGTGTAATATTTCATATTTTCCTGATGTAATTTATGAGAATGAAATTTTCAGTTACTCTTCCATAGGTTTTTGAAACAGTTAATTAAGGGTCTACATAGTCCTTCTGAGAAATGTTATAATAATTAATACTGACAAGGGACAAGACATATATCCAGATCAATTAAATTTGTTAGTTTAAATTCACTTCATTTTAATAAACTGTATTTTATTTCCCATTATTAAGTCTGACAAAATTTTATTAAGAAAAAAAAACCAACATTTATGAAGATTAAATACCTTTACTTCCCATTCATTAATCCAATTAAGTACAATTTTGATTACATAATAATGCAAACACAACTATTCCATGATCTGCATTTCAGTACAAGTTTCATATAACAGTCTAATTTCTGGTACACATGAATATTATAAGAGCATGAATGGGAAAGATAACAACTATCAGATTAGTAATAAAACTAAAATACATAATAGCTGTAGGTGTATGTTTGATTTTGTATGTGTATGTGTGTGCATTAGAGAATAAAAAAATCACAAGAACACAAGATAAAGAAAAATTCCAAAAAAACTCAACAAAAACAAAAATCCAACTTGGATGTACATTTCAGTTTAATCTCCATGTAGTGTAGGCTACATACATCCAACAAAAAATAACACTAACAGCATCACCTGGTAAATTGTTTCAAAAATTTCTAAGCAAAAACGCTTTTGTCATATGACAAGTTTACAATTAAATCTATGCTTTAAAAACGTAAATTTGTATAATAGCAACATTAAAGTTCGTATTTCTTACAACTTTTGTTCACTACACCACTTGGTTACTTTTTAATTTGTTATATAAAGTTGTTCTACTTCTAAGTTTAACACGAACCCCGAAGGCAGTCATTTCTCATCAGTTACTACGTCTAGTACCAAACATTAAACTAGACATCATTGTAAATTATAACAAACACAAGAACCGTAATATCAATATTAATACTACTAATACTAACTACGTAACTCACAAAGTTGTAGTAATAAACCATTACTATTAGAAATACTACTAGTACTACAGTACAAACAACTCAAACTACAACTACAAGACGTTATTAACGTAAGTACAGAAAATAAACTAAAATAGAAAATATATTTAATAAAATAAATGCAATACTACTTTTAATACAACATGTGGTTCACGTATCTTAAATATTCATATTAAAGTATAAGGAATTAAATAGGATTTGGTATAACGACTCACCACAGATTTAACACAAAATGCAGCTGTATCTCCTCTACTGCAACAATTGTACCTATGCGGCAATAGTGGCCCTGTATGCTTGCTGGTGAAACATGTAATACATTAGACAACTGACAGCATAAACATTTCACTAGAGGACGCCCACGAACACCTTAACTATTACTGAATTATCTTCCACAAACGAACGAAGGAACGCACACACGTATAAATCAGGTTTGGAGTTTTGATTTAAGTTTACATCATGATCTGATCTTTTTATATTAACGATTAACACTGTAATATAGTAAATCAGTATAAATAACAATGAAATCATGGAAACAAATACCATAGAAAGCACTAGGTGCGTACACAAGGAGATAATGCAAGGAGCTCCATCCCCAAATATCTCTATGCATACGGACTTGGTCATTTTTGTGATTAATGCTGCTTATTGCTATGCATATAATATATTTTGCTATGGTTTATACGTGTGTGTGTGTGTTTAATATGCCCTCTACCCTACCATCAAATAGCTTGTTTGTTTGTTTTGAATTTCGCGCAAAGCTACACGAGGGCTATCTGCGCTAGCCGTCCCCAATTTAGCAGTGTAAGACTAGAGGGAAGGCAGCTAGTCATCACCACCCACCTCCAACTCTTGGGCTACTCTTTTACCAACGAATAGTGGGATTGACCGTCACATTATAACGCCCCCACGGCTGAAAGGGCAAACATGTTTGGTGGAACGGGGATTCGAACCCGCGACCCTCAGATTACGAGTCGAGCGCCCTAACCACCTGGCCATGCCGGGCCCCCCAAATAGCGTTCAAATTTATATTCCTGCAAACGACACTGGTTATCTGCCACGTTTGTAGACTTTATTGAATCAATTTTCATAAAGAGTAAAACGTAATCCAGTAAACAAAAATTCGTCCGATATGACATAAACGTTTGCAGTATTAAATTTCGTTTTATTTTCTAGTACTTTGAGGTTATGCTGAAAATAATGTCCCCCAGTGGTTTAGCGGTAAGTTTACCGACTCACAACGCTAAAATCCTGGATTTGATTACATGCGGTTGACGGAGTCGAATAACCCAGCTTTGTGCCAAAACAACACACGAAAAAAATTAATAATATTGTTGCGTCAGCGAGGTCACGTGACTAGTGTCACGCCACGTTTCTGAACTATCCTGTACCTTCATGAATGCCCTAGCATTTACTAGATATAGGGCAGTCTGGTATATATAAGAGGGTGACAATGTGACGGGACAACAATGTGTGTAGGTAGTGAGTAATTGAACTGCAGTCAGGAAATAT